TTTCTATTATAGTTTCAAAAATCATTAACAAAGTTTGAGGTCGTATTTTTCAGTTAATATATAAAGAATGTCTTTACAAAGATGAATGCTTTTGCACATACAGTACTGTGTTATAAGTGAAGGCAAACATGGGTAGATGGGTGGACAGGCTGAAATAGTAGGTGTGTCTGTGAAGCAGGGAGTGTACCCAAGAACATGTATAGGGTTGCAGACAACAGTCCTATAAGTTTGTGTGTATGATCTGAATTCCCAGGTGTATAGTAGAGCTGACAAGGGGCAAGGTGATAGTCACTGCTTGGTCACATCCAGCTATCCAGAGGGACCAAGTAGTTGAACCTGTGGGCTCGGGACCATAGTCTCAAGGCACATGAAGCTCAATTGGCATAACATACTACACAAAACATTGTTCCACCTCCTACTTTGGTATGTAGTGACTGGCATCTTAAAAGCTAGCAAGCTGCCATCTAGATGTCGTCGTTGTCTCTCCTTGTCCAGAGCAAAGAAGAATGAAGAAAACCAAAAATACATGGATACAATCAGTCCTAGCAACTGGTACACCATCCAATCAGTAGCCTATATGGCTATGAGACCAGAAAAACTAGATGGTGCCTGGCTACCAATGTCAACCTTTGGAAGGGGATCTAGGTAGGAGATCTTGGATAGAGAGGGAGAACAATGTGGACAAAACTCAAAATCATTTGGAGAAAAAAAAGGGGGGGGGTACTAGGTTTGCTGGTGTGATGGAGCCTGGTGGAACCATTGAGACTATGGCCCCTAGCTGCCCTTTAGGTTTGGAATTGAACCCACACCTGTGGTTTTCAGCCAAGCAGAAGACAGGCATATGAGTTGAACATTTACCTGAGGTAGATACACTCCTTGGAGAGAAAAATCATGGGAGAAAGAAGGGCTGCTTAATGCACTGGGAGATAGCTCAGGAGGCAGGAGTGCATGGAGGGATGGACACAGGGAAGAGGTAATTATCCGGAGGAAGTGGGAGGGGAGCTGTTGCATTGTGGTAAATTGTGGTCAATGTCATGAGACAAAGTGTATGTGAACTGTATGGAAAGTGAATTTGCTCTGTAAATTTTCACCCAAATCCCAATTAAAAAAAAAAAGAAAGTCTTTGTGGAGCACGTTGTAATACGGTGTTTTCTTTCATACAGTTACTTCTTTTTTAACTTTTTAATGTGATCAAACAATTATTTTCTGCTTCTTATGTAGGTTTCTTTCCTACTCCAACTAGGTTTATTATAATGTGTTTATCAATAAATATATGGTGATATCACTTTCTTACTTGAAAAATAAGTTATAATTAGAATGTATGATAAAATCAAGCAGTTCTTAATGAAAATGTGAAATAATTCCAAGCATTCTGATTTTAGAAAGTCAATATTTTGGTATAAATTCCTTTTTTTTTTTTTAATAGTACAGAAAGGTGTTAAGTGAAAATAGTCTCTGTGTTTAGAAATAATACCTGCCCAAGGAAATGATTGAATCAGAGAAAAAGCTGTAGAATTTCAGATATAAATTGATGAGTAAGTAATATCTATTAAGACATATTCTAACCAGAACAATTATCTTACACTTCTGCTAAAGGCAATTTGTGAAGAAAACATTTTTTTAAATAAATAAACAAAATAAATTAAATAAGATTTAGTACTATTCATTGTTTTTCCAGAATAAAGGGTGGAAGGCAACAAATACAGCAATATTTTGTACTTTCTAAGATGAAGTTAGATTTGAAATGATTGAACTTAACTGACTTACTGATTTAAAAAGTGTTAATTTATACATATAAACCCTGTAGAATAGCAATCCCTCTGTGGGTTTCTGAGGAGGTATCACTACAGAAGTAGTTTGCCCAGTCTTCCTTCTGAGGAGTGGCTGTGGTGGGTTTGAATTGCCAGTCTTCTGGTTAGCAGTCAGATGCCTTAGGTACTACGCCACCAGAGCACTTCTCTAGAATATAGATTCTTAATTAAGATTAATTTATGGTATAACTAAACAGCTCATTTAATATAATTCAATACCTTCTAACATCTTAACTGCAAATTTTGATAACTATTTATCAGTTTGAATAATAACTTCTGGGGGATGTATTATAAATGTCAAACAAAATATTTTGGTAAATCATTGTTTTATTCTATATTGAAGTTAACTATCAGTTGAGGATCATAAATCTTCAGAGAAAAACACCTACATATGTAAAATGAGTGTTACAAGCAGGAGACTTTCTTATCGAATTTGAATAAGATAATTTGAACTATCCTGATACACCTTCAAATCTACAATGCCTATCTTTATCTTAGTTACTGAAAGAAAAGGGGAATAGGAGATAGGGTGACTAATGTACTGTATTACCCAAGACTGAGAAATTTTGTAGGACATGAGTCCTTCAGTGCTAAAAGATTGCATTTCTTAATGAGAAGACACATGTTTTACTTATTTAGAGTCTTTTGACTTTTAGTCCTTATAGTTCAGTTTATTTGAGTAGTAGATGTTTAGATTACCTATATGATTACTTATGTATTGATCATTACTGGTGATTGGAATGCAAAAGTTGGAAAGGAAGAATCATCAGTAGTTTGAAAATATGGCCTTGGTGATAGAAATGATGCTGGACATCAAGTGATAAAATTTTAATTTTGTAAGACCAACAACTTAATTCATCGTAAATACCTTTTTTAACAACATGAACTGTGGCTGTACATATGGACCTTACCAGATAAAATACACAGGAATCAGATCGACTACATCTGTGGAAAAAGGCAATGGAGAAGCTCTATATCATCAGTCAGAACAAAGCCAGGAGCTGACTGTGGAACAGACCATAAATTGCTCCTATGCAAGTTCAACTTGAAGCTGAAGAAAATTAAAGTAAGTCCACAAAAGGCAAAATATGACTGAGATTATATACCAGTTGAATTTTCAGACCACCTGAAGAATGGATTTGACACACTGAACACCAGCGAGTGAAGATCAGACAAGTTGTGGGGTGACATTCAGAACATCATAACATGAAGAAAGCAAATGGTCATTAAAAAGACAAAAAAGGAAGAAAAGACCAAAATGGATGGCAGAGGAGACTCTGAAACTTACTGTTCAACCTAGAGTAGCTAAAGCAAATGGAAGAAATGAAGAAATAAAAGAGTTGAACTGAAGATTTCAAAGGATTACTGAAGAAGACAAAACATTATAATGAAATGTGCAAGAACTTGGAGTTAGAAATCCAAAAGTGAAGAACATACTTGGCATTTTTCAAGCTGAAGAAAAAATTCAAGCCTTGAGTTACAGTATTGAAGGATTCTCTGGGCAAAATATTGAATGATGTAGGAAACATCAAAAGAAGAGTCACTATACCAAAAGTATTGGTTGACATTCTGCCATGTCAGGAGGTATCATATGATCAAGAACCAATGTTATTGAATGAAGAAGTCCAAGTGCACTGAAGGAATTGACGAAAAACAAAACTCCAGGAATTGACTGAATGTTCATTGAGATGTTTCTACAAACAGATGCAATGTGGGAGGCACTTAGTCCTTTATGCCAAGAGATTTGGAAGACGGACACCTGGCCAACTGACTGGAAGAGATTAATATTGGTGCCCATTGCAAAGTAAGGTGATCCAACAAAATGTGGAAATTATTGAATAATACCATTAATAGCTATCTCTCTCAATGCTGTCGAGTCGGATGTGACTTATAGTGACCCCTCCTTGGGTTTTCAAGGTGGTATCTCTATGGAAATAGATTGCCCAGTCTTCTTTCTGAGGAGTGGCTGATGGGTTTGAACTGCCAGCCTTCTGGTTAGCAGTCAAATGCCTTAGGCACTACGCTACCAGAGCTCCTGTCATTAATAGCACACACAAGTAAAATTTTGCTGAAGATAATGCAACAACGTCTTCAGTAGTATATTGACAGGGAATTTCCAGAAATTCAAGCTGGACCCAGAAGAGGACCAGGAACGAGACATAGTATTGGTGATGTCAAATGGATCTTGGCTGAAAGCAAAGAATACCAGAAAGATACTTATCTGTGCTTTTTTGACTATGCAAAGACATTTGACTGTGTTGATCATAACAAATTATGGAGAAGATTATAAAGAATGGGAGTTTCCAAAACACTTAATTGTGCTCATGAGGAACCTAACCAGCAGCCTATTGTTC